GATGGATGGATGGAGGGATTGATGGATGCCCTGCATGTGGCTGCGCTCCGGAGGCTCCGATCTGGATGTCGGGTGTCCCTGGGATTCCCCCCATCTGATCCCGCGTCTCCAGTGTTGTCCCAAGCATCACAAATGCACCGAGTTCTGTGCATCCCAATGCCAGCTCGGATGTGAGCGGAGCTGGAGCCCTTCCCGGATCCACTTCCCATTTTCCTGCTTGGCCCTACGGGCTCAAACCTGGGCCGTTTGCACCTTATCCGGAGGCTGCAGCCACGGCGCCATTCCCGACCTCCCGCTGGTCCCGCTCCAATGTTGCCAAGCCCTTTCCTGGCTCCGGATGCTCTGGGCATATGGGGGCTCTGCCGGAGGTGCCTTGGCCTGGCCGAGCAGCTCCGGCTCCATCCTGGATGCGGCCGCCATTCCCAGAGCCGCTCCAGGCCCTGGGAATGCAGCACCTTGATGGGATGGGGAATAAACCTGGCAATAGGGCAGCATCCCCACGAGGATGCGAGGGGTTGGAAAAGGCTTGGGAACACAGGAACATTTTGAGGGTGTCTTGGAAGCATGGGAACATTTTGGGGACATGGGAATGGCAGGGGATCATTTGGGGAATACAGGAACGACTTGGGAACATGGGAACATTCCAGGCACGTGGCAATAGCTTGAAAACATGAGAATGGCTTGGGAACACGGCAACATTTTGGGAACACGGGAACATCTTGGAAACATAGGAACACGGAATGCTGTCCCCGCTCCATCCGTGGCTCTATTTAGCCACCCTGGAGCAGCCGGCGCGGGACAAAAGCCTGGAACAAAGGCTCGGCTCCGGATGCGGCAAATTGAATTCCGGGCGACCGGAGCGCGCCCGGGGCGCCCTTCCCTTTGCGGGAGGTTAATGGGGCTTGTAGCCGCGGGGCCGCGTCGCAGAGAAGGGACGGAGCGCGCGGAACGCCGGGATGGCGTGGGCTTGTGCACGCGTGCGTGTGCTCGTGTGCACGCGTGGTCATGCTTGTGCACGCTTGTGCACACTCGTGTTCACTTGTGCACGCGTGTTCACACTTGTGCACGCTTGTATGCACTTGTG